TATATTTTAAAAATTGAAACCTAAAACATACTAATCGTACACTCACACTGAATAATATATAGATATATATGTACAATTTTTTAAAAAAATATAGGTTATATCTGTAGATAAACTTCAACAAATTTAAATTTCGACTTTTAAAAATAAAATATAGCCCCGCGGTGTACCGCGGGTCAATTTCTAGTTATTTATTATTTTGATAGTTAAAAAAAGATGCTATGAAAGCGATGAATAGATACTTAGATAGATTTCTCTCCGAATGCCAACAAAATGAAGGTGGGTTAAATGCAACTATGTTGGGCTGGACCGTCAAGAACTATTAATTATGGGTCAGTCACTGTTAGTTTGGGCCTTGGGGTTGGTCCGTCAACAGCATTGAGGTTAAGAAACAATGATTGGTCAGTCACAGAAGCGAATATCACAGCACCGTGAGATAAGTATACTCTAGGGCCGATTGGTAAAGACTTTTACTATAGATTTTTATTGTAAACTTTTGGCTGCAGAAAATTTGACTGTAAAAACTGTGGCTGTAATTTTAAAATATATTTAAAAGTCTAATTGGTAAACACTATTGTAGAAGCTGTGGCTGTAAAAATTGTAAATATTATTTTAATATAATAATAAAAAGATTTATTAAAAAAATTAAAAAGTTTAAAAATAAACTAATAGATAAATATTTGAAACAAATAAATTTATTTTTAGTTATTTATTTTATGTCAAAATTTAGTACCCAAAAGCATAAATAAGAAGTGTGATAAACTAACAAATACTTGGAAATCATAGTACTTGTTCGATTTGCAAGTTAAAACTCCATTGGTCATTGTATTTATAATGTTAGTGATCTTCTAAGAACAGTTTGTTGTATTAATTTTAATTTAAAATTTGTTGGAATATTTTTTTGTATTGGTATGATTTAAAATTTATGATTTTCTCTAATTTTTGAATGATTAATGATTCACTATTATGTGCTAATTTGTTTTGTGTAGAATTTTCTTTATTGACTATTATTGTTTTATATTGATTTTCACTATTAATAGTAAAACATATATTTTTTTGAATGTTTTTATTTTTGTTGAATTGTTGTTTCTATTAAGTGAAATATATATATTTTATATTGAACAATCAATGAATCTGATATATAAATAGAAGATAAATAATCTTAAACGAAATACTTAATTAATTGAAAAAATGTTACAGCCAACGTAAAGTCTCATTATTGGGACTTTAAAAAAACTAGTACAATTAGAGAGAAAGAAAAAAGAATGGACTGTTAAAGCTGTAGAGAAAAAAAAAAAAGGAGTGAAAAATCTGATTGGTAAATAATTCACTGTAAAAACTTTTAAATATAGTAAAAATCTTTACAGCATCACACCAATTCTATCTCTCTCTCTCGAAGAAATCGTCATACTTCTATAAATGGTCACTTGTTTCGTACGGCCTTTCTTTACTCCTTCAGAGAGAGCGTGCCATTTTTATTTTCTCTTTCTTCTCTCTTTTTATTTTCTTTTTTTTTTCCTTTTTTTTTTTTCTTTCTTCTTCTTCTTACTTGATTTTGAACCCTAGCTTAAGGGGAATTTTCTCGGGAAAACAAAGAGATATTTTATCGCAGTGAGAAAGAAAGCAAAAAAATGCAGAATCAAAGGCTTAAGCATCAGCAACATCAACAACAGCAACAAGCTATGATTCAACAAGCTATGATGCAACAACATCCTTCTCTTTATCATCCTGGTGTTATGGCTCCTCCTCAGGTTTTTGATCTATCTATATTCATTTTCTTTCTAATTGCTATTTGGTTTTTTAAACCGGGTTTGATTCGGAATTAGGGCTTGTTCTCTAATTCCGATTCGTGGGTTTTAATCACTGAGCTCTGTTACCTAATCTTATGAATCTCTCTGGCTAATTATCGTGTAAAGTTTTGAGCTTTTGATTGTGAGCTTGTGTTTCGTGTTAGTAATTCGGTTTCTCTGCTGATTTGTGTTTGATTTTGATGGTAATGGTAGTTTTTCGTGTAGAAAAGGAGTGGTTTTTGCTACTTGCTCTGCAATCATCTCTTAATGTTTGTATTTGTTGCAGATGGAGCCTTTACCAAGTGGAAACCTTCCTCCTGGTTTTGATCCCACTACTTGCCGTAGTGTGTGAGTGTGTTTTGATTTCAATGGTTTTTTCTTTCTTTCTTTCGCCTTTTGGTATAATGCAGAGTTTCAACGTTTAAATTGTTCTCTGATATTGTAGGTATGCTGGCAACATTCATACGCAGGTCACAGAGATTCTTCTTCAAGAGATTTTTGCAAGTACTGGTCCTATTGAAAGCTGTAAACTCATCAGAAAGGATAAGGTGGAGTTTCGAAAACCGCCCTTCTTTTTTTTATTCGAATGAAACGTTTCTGTATTGTTCTCCAAAAGCTAACTTCTAGACATGAATGTTTCACACTTTTACAGTCATCATATGGATTTGTTCACTACTTTGATCGAAGATGTGCTAGTATGGCTATAATGACTCTTAATGGAAGGCATATGTAAGAATCTGACTTTGATAGTTCATGCTCTTCTTAGTTACTTAATTCATTTTTTCTCTTAGATTTTAATACTGGATTTCACAGATTTGGACAGCCTATGAAAGTTAATTGGGCCTATGCCACTGGTCAAAGGGAAGATACATCAAGTAAGTTTTGATTAGCACGGATTGATTGTCAAGGAATTTCTTTTTGTTTTTTGAGTGAGGCGTGGTGCTGAATGGTTTTGTTTCCATGAAATGCAGGTCATTTCAACATTTTTGTTGGAGATCTCAGTCCAGAGGTTACTGATGCAGCATTGTTTGATAGCTTTTCTGCCTTTAATAGCTGCTCGTAAGTTCTTGTGCTTGATCTTCTGATTTTAGTTACTACTTGGTTAAAACAGGAAAATTTAGTTACACAACTAAGCTGTACACATATATCACTATGTATTACAAGATATTCTTTATTGATTAAGCTTATTTGTCTGAACAGTCCATCAGAATCTTTGATCTAATATCTGTTTATTATTACGTAGGGACGCAAGAGTAATGTGGGACCAGAAAACTGGACGCTCAAGAGGCTTTGGGTTTGTTTCCTTCCGTAATCAGCAGGTTTTGTATCCTTTTAATCATGGGTGACTGTTTGTTTTAGCTCCATTCATAATTTTACATTGATTTTTAAATGTTTATGTAATTTGCAGGATGCTCAAACTGCCATAAATGAGATGAATGGTAAGAATTATCATATTGGTCTTAGAGTTGTATGGTTTCCTTTTGTGAACTTTGGTTTCGACATGCTGATACTTCTTATGATGCATTTGGCTGTATAATATTGTGGCTAGAAAGGATAAACTTGGTCAGGAAAATTCTGTGTTTTTGTAGCTTATTGGTGAACAACTGTTGAAGTTATCTGTTACCTGTGTCGACCAGGCGCTGTCTCTAGAATTAATTAATTTTCTTGATTCCAAGCACTTAGTTTTGCCAGTACTAGAACAGTTGTTTCTTTTACCTCATCTCAGGTAAATGGTTAAGTAGCAGACAGATCAGATGCAACTGGGCAACAAAAGGTGCTACTTTTGGCGAGGACAAGCATAGCTCTGACGGAAAAAGTGTTGTGGAACTTACAAACGGCTCTTCAGGTTTTCGTTTGTTTACTGTGCAACTTCTAGAATTTTCATTTTCTGCAAATTTTCATGAAGATTACATTTGTTTTAACACTTGATTTTGCAGAGGATGGTAGAGAGCTGTCAAACGAAGATGCCCCTGAAAACAATCCTCAATATACAACTGTCTATGTAGGAAACCTCTCTCCAGAAGTAAGTTGTCAACTTAACGAATTGTTCTGAATAAACTCTGCAACAGCTCCTGGCTTTTTCGTTTTGCGCTTCGTGACAGTTGTCAATCTTGCAGGTAACTCAGCTTGATCTACACCGTCTATTCTATACCCTTGGTGCTGGAGCGATCGAAGAGGTTCGTGTCCAGCGAGACAAAGGGTTTGGTTTTGTGAGATATAACACTCATGACGAGGCTGCTCTTGCTATTCAGATGGGCAACGCTCAGCCTTACCTCTTTAGCAGACAGATAAAGGTATTTACTTCGGTTATGATAACGTAGATCTAACTGTTGTTGCATCTTTCTGACTTCTGTGGAGAAGTGTTAGACAACCAAAGTCTGCTCGTAATTGGTTTTTACCACCAGTTTTCCCCTAAACCCATTTCCTTGTTTCTGTGATTTATTGCAGTGTTCATGGGGAAACAAACCAACTCCATCAGGCACAGCCTCAAACCCACTTCCCCCACCAGCCCCGGTCCCAGTCCCTGCTCTGTCTGCAATGGACCTCTTAGCATATGAGAGGCAACTGGTTCTAGCCAAGATGCATCCTCAGGCTCAACATTCTCTAAGGCAAGCAGGAGCTGGAGGAAGTGCAGCTATGTACGATGGTGGCTTTCAAAATGTAGCTGCGGCCCATCAGCAGCTCATGTACTATCAGTAATAAACTCTCTTCACTGTCTCTGAGATACTTTTTTTCTTTTCTTTCTTTCTTTCTTCTTAATTTTATCACTTTCTTGCTTTTTTCTAGACCTTGTTCAAGCGTCTTTATGTATGTGTCTCTTTCATTTAAAGCTGTTGGTTTTATTTATGTATGCAGAGCTTTATGCTCAGTTTGTAACCTATAGGTTTTACTTGGATTGTAAGCCAAGCAATAAGATAACATCAAATAAAAGGGGATTTGGTTTTCTGGGGTTTATGTTGTTTGTGGTTCTGTAATGATAGATTTGAAACATAGTAATTTGTCGGTTATAAAAGTTGTATAGTTTCATTTCTCATTAGTACATTGTGTCTGACCTTTAATTTAACTAGCATCAAGTGTTTTGTCGACGAGTGTCCTCTATTATGCAGCAAATTGTACAATTAAGGTTTTTTATTTGTCTTTGTCGGTACTAGTAGAGACTAGAGAATCTTGATATAAGCTTTAAAGTTTCAAAGATTAGAGGAAATTGGCAGGGGTTCAAGTAATCTTTTTAAGACCCTGTAATAGAAATGGATACTTTGTTTCAAGAGACATTACATTTGATACTGACCTTATCAGTAAATATTTACATAATTACATGTATAGGTTATTTATATTTACACAAAAACCCCGTATGATGTTTCTCTCTCGGCTTGTTCATTCAACGGTCCAACGCGTTAATCACAATCCTGCATATACACAAATATAATATAGGTACATACATGAAGGGAATTGATTAGGAAATGAAGTGATGGAGATAATTACCATTCATAAGTGGTGAGACTTGCAGCATCGTCTTCGCCGGAGGAAGGGATTTTACCGGCAGTGAATGGTCCCAAATCATAGCATGGTGTCCCAGCTGCATCAAATATGGTTTACCCAAATGTGAGTACTAAGTCTTAATTTTGTATAGCATACTCTATTCGTTAATGATTTTCTAACAATCAACATTCATTTACATAGTTAGCATAACTTTTAGTTATTTTTGTACATGATTAACTTGCATTCCATTCCCATACATACAAAATTCAATGCAAGTTATGGCCTGTTCGTTTCTCCATTCAGATGGATCATCTGGATGGAGATGAAGAATGATGTTCGTTTTTTGACAATTTAACAGAGTATTTGGATGAATCAGTTGGATGGATCATTTGAATGAGTTTGTAATTTTAGGCAAATTTGTCAAACTCATCTGGATGAACATGATTGGAACATTTGGATGGAAATGATTCAATCAAAAATAAGAAATGACAAATATACCCTCATTTACAATCATATATCAAATAATTTTTATTTTCCATAGATTTCTCATTTTATATCTAAAAATCACATATTTACACCAAAAAAATATCTAAAAATCGTGAAATCAAAGATTACCATTTTCCGTCAAAATTATTTTTTTTCCCGCCAAAACCGTAAAATCATGATTTTTGATAGAAAATTATAGAATTCGTCAAAACCGCAAAATCATAGTTTTTCGCCAAAACCGCCAAAACCGTAAAATCAAATTTTCGCCAAATCATGTTTTCCCGCCAAAACCATAAAATCATGTTTTTCCGTCGAAACCGCAAAATCATGTTTTTCCGTCAAAACCGTAAAATCATATTTTCCCTCCAAAACTACAAAATCATATTTTTCTCTAAAACTGTAAAATCATATTTTTCCCGCCAAAACTATAAAATCACGATTTTGGCGGAAAAATTACGGAATTATGTTTTCCCACCAAAACCGAAAAAATTGAAGAATTACATTTTCCATCAAAACCGTAAAATCATATTTTCCCGCCAAAACTATAAAATCACGATTTTGGCGGGAAAATTACTGAATTCTGTTTTCCCGCCAAAACCAAAAAAATTGAAGAATTGTGTTTTCCACCAAAACCGTAAAATCATATTTTCCGGCCAAAACTATAAAATCACGATTTTGGCCGAAAAAATATGGAATTATATTTTCCCGCCAAAACCGAAAAAATTGAAGAATTGTGTTTTTCACTAAAACCATAAAATCATATTTTCCCGCCAAAAGCACAAAACTTAATTTTCCTGTAAAATCATATTTTCTCGCTAAATCAAATTTTCCCGCCAAAACCGTAAAATCATATTTTCTGGCAAATCATATTTTCCCGTCAAAACCGTAAAATTATATTTTTTCGCCAAAAACGTAAAATTAATTTTTATATGTTAAAATCATAGTTTGAAATTATTTATTTGTAAATATATTTTAGAGCAATAATTAAATTAATATAACTAAGATTAAAATTAAAATATAATTAAATTAAAAGTATGGGTATTTTAGTCATTTTTTTGTTAAAGTCATCTAGATGCAAATGAAGATTTATAAAAATTAAACAAACAAACAAAAATTCATTTAGATACTCCATCTAAATGAATATCCAAAAATTGAAACGAACAATATTCAGATGGAGCATTTGGATGAAACATTTAGATTAACCATCGGGATAGAAATGTCAGATGATCAAACGAACATGCCCTTAATCATGTACGTTTTTACCGCCATAAGTTTCTCGTTGTAATTGTTAATTAGTAATTTTTTTTAGAGGAAGAGAGGAGAAATAAATACGGGTTAAAGGCGTCCCAGGGTTGCTGATTGACCCAGTTGGAGAATCCGGAACACGATCCGGATCCATTTTCAATTTACGGAGACCACGGACATTGTTATTCCCCTTGGTAACCATTATGCTTCTGGTGACTTGATCGCTTGAGAGAGAAGGAGGAGAAGATCGGACGGTGGATAATGAATCGTGCTTTCTCAATTTCCCGAGACCATTGTCCGGCGTCGGTCCGGCCACCGTTTCATCCCACAGCTTGTGTAGGAACCCCATCCGATCAACAAATTTATCCAAAAATATATAACAATATTTTTTCTAATTATTTCGGGTTTTTATTTGATTGTCTCTATCTTCTTTTTTCCTTTGCAATGAAAATGGTTTTATAGAGGAAGAAAGAGAAGCATTGAATATTTTTAGTGAGGTTAATTATAAGCTTTGGCTTAATTAAGGAGATTTTAATTGAAGGATAAAGATGCTGACTAATCCAATCAATAGTCTCTAATCTCATTGGTGAATATTCTATAAGTTGTGTCTTAAGCTAGAATCACAAACTACTAGTTCAGAATTCTTCTACTAAGATTCAGAGAGTTTTCAACAAGCTATTCAAGTTCAAAGCTTTTTAATTTGCCCATGTTTCAGACACGATGGATAAACAACAACAACAACAACATGATAATGATAAATCAGAGTCATAACTTCTACATTTACACATCCCACAAGGTAACAACAACATCGAATCCTAAATCCAGCTTATCATAGCAATATCATAGGAACATTTGTGTTCAATTGTCAGCTACTTACATTGCCGTTATTCTTGCCATTGCGATCATCATCGTCAGCGATCCTCCTTTCTCCTCGCTGCCTGCTCCTCTCTTCCTCTTCTTGATTGTTCTGTGTTATCTCCAATTGAGTTTTCAAGAACTGCATTCTCTGCAACTCCATCTCTTTAGCGAATTTCATCCTCTCCTTTTCCAGTTGCGCCATTAGCTTAAGCTTAGCCGTTTCCGCCTTCTCATAAGCTTCCGTAAATCCAAGTATCGCCCTCGCCACATCTCCAACTCCACTCCCTCCATCTCCACTCTTATCCACCTTCAACCGCTTGGGCAGATGAAACGAAAGCGGTTGAGGCGGTTGCAACGGTGGCAGACTCTCAGCAGAGTCAGGAGAAGCCTCAGGTTCAGGATCAGACTCAGACTCAGTCTCAGAAGCACTTCGTTTCCTAAAATGCCAACGCATCGAATTAGAGCTTCTCTTCAAATCCCCTCCTTGCACAATCTGATTTCCTTTAGCTTGCCGTTTATAAATATTCGAACGGAGACCTCCTCCCATAGGAGCCTTCTCCGAAGCTTTCGAAGAAGCAACAACTGTCGTAGTACCACCAATCAAACTCTCAAGCTTCTTGAAGAAGACCCATTTACTAGGTCCATCACCAGAAGCAATCTTAGCTTTCTCTTGCTTATACTTCTTCTTCACCGTATCAATCCTGTTCTTACACTGTATATCAGTTTTAGGGTATTTGCATTGACGACTCTTGTTCACAATCTCAGCTACTTCTTTCCAATGTTGTTGCTTCAAAGTTCCTTTACCTGGTTCAGAGAATCGATCTCCCCAAGCGTCGATTAGAACCTTGGTTGCTTCTTCGCTCCAACAATCGTCTCTTCCTCCGCCACCACCACCGCTTCCTCCTCGTCCGTTTCTGGTATTACCGCTACCACCACCGGTTACAGAAGGAGTATGAACCACTAACGCTAAAGCGTTCCTCGACGGAGATTGAGAAGAAACTAGCGTTTGTGGTTTCTTCACGACGGCCACCGTAACGTCGTTTGTTGGTAAAATCGGCGGAGAAGGAGGAGCTTGTGGTGAAAGAGAAGAATCTCCCGGAGATGGAATTGACTGAATCTCGTCGTCGTCCTCCATGAAAGTCGACCGATTGCTTGAATTTTGAGATTCGGAGAAAGTGCAAAATTTTGGATCTGAGATTCGCTCACCGGCGAGGGGATAAGGTCACCGGATAGGTAATCTCCGTTATTGACCCGATGGATATGAGAAATGACGAAAACACCCTTCACTCTTTTCTTTAATAACGAAAAAGCAATAACCGTGAGTACTCGTATGGTTTTATGGTAAATTGACATATCGCTATAAGGTATTTATGCTTTTGCCATTTTTTTTCGTTTGGAAGAATATTGACTGACGGATTTCAAAATTTGTATAATATAGTTTTTTTCTTCTTTTATTATTCAGTTTGGACAAAAAAAAGTAATATTATTGTCTTGTCTATAGTTTGGTTAGGTAGGTAGACAAGACTCAAACTAAAATAGAAAGAAAGACATAAATTAAGTCCAATGGGCTTAAATGGGCTGTAAATAACTTTCAAGGCCCAATAAAAAAAGAGATATAATGACGTGGAAGCTTTTGAAACAGCTCAAGATCACTAGTTACTTCTAGAATTGTTTCTCTGGAACTTTCTAGCTCACTGGTGTCTTCTCACTATATAACAATGGAGCGACAAATTTCAAAACGTATCAAATCGAAGAAGAAGATTCAATTAGGAAGTGTTATCGTAATTCCCAGGTAAAATATTCTCTTCTTATATCGAATTTTTTCCGGGAAAACTTTCAGAATCGTTGATTTTAAGTTTTTAACTTTTTTGTTTTCGGGCAGTTATTGATCGGAGAAGATGAGTGCTGTTGCGATTAACCACTTGTTTGGATTACCGGAGACGATCGAGAAGCTAATTCTCCCGATTTCCCGTTCCGGCGAAGGTAATAACGAGAGTCGTGGAGGAGGAGGAAGTAACAACAATATCCCAATCGACATTTTGGAATCTTCCAAAGAATACATATTTTATCTCGATATCCCCGGAATCTCCAAATCCGATATCCAGGTATTTATATCATCCTATAGAAATGTTGAAATGATTATGGAAATTAGGGTTTTTAATTTATGAATTGGGGATTTTATTAGGTTACTGTGGAGGAGGAGAGGACTTTGGTGATAAAGAGTAATGGGAAGAGAAAGAGAGATGATGATAATGAGAGTGAAGAAGGATCTAAGTACATTAGACTTGAGAGGAGACTTGCTCAGAATCTGGTTAAGAAGTTCCGATTACCGGAAGATGCTGACGTGGCTGCTGTTACGGCCAAATATCAAGAAGGGGTTTTGTCAGTTGTTGTCAAGAAGTTACCGCCTCAGCCGCCGAAACCTAAGACTGTTCAAATCGCTGTTTCTTGATGGGCAGTTTCTGTTTTTTTTTTTTTTCCCCTTGTGTGTGTGTTCTCTAGTTTGTTGGATCAACTAATGAATGAATAACAGTATATATGTTTAATGCAAATAAAATCTGAGAAGAAAAGCTGGCTCAATAACTTATAAATTATTGTCGACATTATCTCACGATGTCATAAGATACCCAAAAGGCATCGGATTCTACCGGAATTTTATGGAATCTGAAGTTATATTACTCTGTTTGAAAGAGTAACAGGGGAAGTGACAAAACTTTGTTGCTTGACGTTGCCAGGCATTTTCGAGTGCCCACGCAAACCGACCGTATTGAAATGATAGTAACAAAGGATCTTTGATAAGACAAGTGTTTCCTTGACCTTATACTGCCGATCGATCCGAAGACTATACAAATGACAAAAGACCCAACACCGATACATGCATGCGGTTGTGATGACGTAGCAAAACGTGGACGTTTAAACGAGAATGGCGTGGCTTGCCTCTGCCGTCAATAGAGTTACCACGTGTGGTAAAACTAAATTTTTTATAGGAGTAAATTTGCAGTGTAAAGATTGTTATTTAAAGTTTGTAATTGGATGAATGGGTAATTTTAAAGTTAAATTTATTGTTTGGATAGTCTTCATTATTCATTTAATACAAATTTATAGTCTTAAGATATAATTTCTTTTTGCTATAATGTTTTGTGGATATTGTGAAATATGTAAAACTCAAAATAACAGTTTCAAACATACCTAGATGACAAAAAAAAAAAAAAAAAGTTTCAAACATACCCCAAAATTACGAATGTCTTGACACTTGCCGACTTGCGTAGTTTTTTTTAGCTTATAAATAGAACACATTAGAAGTAAGAAGCGAGACACACAAATAAAGAAAACATAATTTGGATTTGACAGAAAGATTGAATATGGCAGATATGGCTGCGACTTTTCAAGGCGGGTGGATCAAGGTATATAACTATTTAATCAAGAATTCTTATTAAATTGTTAATTCAACTTCTCACAAGTTCATAATTTTGTAATATAAACTTTATATTGGTTAAATTCGATATTGATTAGCTATCCTTCGCGGTCACTGATTGTTGTATTCACAATGGCTGGACACTGATAATCGCAATTCGTTATCATGTTCGTATCCGTGCATGTGATAATCACATTATTTATCCAAAAAAAAAAAAAAAAGTAATATCCACTGTTTTAAAATTATAATGTTCATATACGCGAGAAAAAACATTGTGATAATCAATTAAATAAAATATAAAATTGACTCCATGCACATAGCCACGTACGTATAATAAGTTAACAACTAAATAGTCCCCTCAAAGTTAAAACCAAAAAAAAAAAAACAATGGAGGTCACGGATCTGAAAAGGCACGAGGTCATGCCAGTTTCCAGACGAGAAAATTAAACAACACACATGGACGCGTCATCATCGTATCTTGCTTTTGATTAACAGGTGGAGCAGAGAGGAGGAAAGGGACCAGGACCAAGATGTTCACACGGCATGGCGGTGATCGGAGACAAACTCTACTGTTTGGGAGGCGAGTTAAAACCAAACGAAGCCATCGACAAAGACCTTTACGTTTTTTACTTCAACACTCACACCTGGTCAATCGCTCCGGCAAATGGAGACGTCCCCCGCATCAGCACTTTCGGCGTCCGTATGGTTGCCGTGGGAAATAAGCTCTATGTCTTTGGAGGCCGCAATGAAAAGCGCGAGTTCAGCGACTTTTACTCGTATGATACGGTGAAAAACGAGTGGAAGTTCCTGACAAAGCTCGATGTTGAGGGAGGACCCGAGGCTCGTACTTTCCATTCGATGGCTTCAGATGAAAACTACGTGTATGTATTCGGTGGGGTGAGCAAAGGCGGCGGGTTGATGAAAACTCCCGAGCGGTTCAGAACGATCGAGGCGTATAACGTTGCTGATGGGAAATGGGTTCAGCTACCAGATCCTGGAGAAAACTTTGAGAAAAGAGGAGGTGCGGGATTCCTTGTGGCGCAAGGCAAGATTTGGGTGGTATATGGGTTTGCGACTTCGAGTTTGCCTGGAGGAAAAAGCGACTACGAGTCTAATGCTGTGCAATTCTTTGATCCGGCTCTCGGAAAGTGGACAGAAGTAGAGACTACAGGAGCAAAACCTTCCGCGAGGAGCGTGTTTGCACATGCAGCAGTGGGAAAATATATAATAATATTTGGAGGTGAGATCTGGCCAGACCCAAAGGCACATTTAGGTCCAGGGACGTTGTCTAACGAAGGTTACGCGTTGAACACTGAGACATTAGTCTGGGAGAAGTTTGGAGGATGCGATGAACCGGAGATGCCACGCGGTTGGACCGCCTACACCACTGCCACCCTCTATGGAAAGAATGGCCTCCTCATGCATGGCGGAAAGCTTCCGACCAACGGCCGCGCTGATGATCTCTACTTCTATGCGGTCAATTCAGCTTAATGCGTGTTAAGGTTTGGTTGTTTGTGTGGCTCGTCAAGTGTTAATTATTACTAGTATGAATAAATAAAGAGCCAATTTTATGTGTACTCTGTTTGAATTTGAAATATGGTGTCATTGTATTACGTACGTGTTTAAATAAATTAGTGAAATTGTTGTATACAAATTTGTCCAGTTATCATTTAATTGTTCACAATGGTCTTAAATTTTATGTTTTAACACTGAGTGAGACAAGCCTAATGGGTTATATTGGGCCTAAATGGACTTAATAAGGACGATTGTTACCCTTGTTTTATTACTAAACAAAAATAGGATGTTTCCTTCAGTTTTCTTGTCTAGTTTCCTTGTTACACTAGCTCTTATACTCTCTGCCTTAGATCATATTGTAACCACAATCTTATATCATAAAGGAGCTAGCTTTGTCAACTTGATAAAGCCAATGATTCGCCATCTCTGATTCCATCTTCTTGATATCATAGAGACTCTCAATGTTGCTCTGTCTCGGTCTCATGGCAGCCATAGCTTCCTGTATATCAGCTAAGATGACGGTAAGTTCTAGAGGAAGGACCATAAGCTCCCTGATATTGTTCGGTCCAATCACTTCCGGATCTGCTCCCCACATCAAATGCCCGACTTGAAGGTTCGCTTCTTGCGTCAAATGCTTACCGTCAAAGAAGATATACTCTTCAGGCTTGGCACATACATTTTTAGCAGAGCAATCGCTCCCGTTGATAGAGCCAGTTCCACAACAAGCAGCGATTCCTGTCTCGAATGCTGCATCAGACAAGATAGATGTCAAAACTTTTGTCAAAGGTTATATATGGTGAAGATGATGATAAAAGACTTACTGTAAGTCTTAGACTTGATAACTCTGTTTTGGATCGAGCTAAAGAAGTCGTAAAACGAGTACTGGAAACCATTGAGTTCTCGTGAAAGTTCAACCAAGAGCTGCAAAAGTTTCTTGTTATGCAAAGCAGCCATTTCTGAAGGCAATTTCACGCATTCTTGAACATTTCCGCTTGCTTGTTTCACAGCCGGTAAGCAACCCAAAGGTGCCAAGTTCTGGAACGCAAACTTCCTTCCGCCTGACCCGTAAACCACCTGAAGTTCGATATCCGAAAACAAATAAAAAATATTTAGAACTGCTAATTCAAAGCTTAGATATTGTAGCTGCTGCGAGTTTTAACCTTTATTTCTGCTTTTAAGGTAGTGACGACTTGATCAACAAAAGCTTGTTTCTGATCATCTGATGGACTTGGATTATTCTTAGCATAGTTCAAGTAATCATCAGAACCGATGTAGAACAAGTAGATAGCTTCAGAACGTGTTTGATTTGTCCATTTGTTCTTGTTTTCCAAGAATTTCCTCACTTGTTGTGACAAAGTCATCTGTAAAAAAGTCATTCAAAGATCTATTTTTAACCTAAAATTCCTTACAGATTTGACCTAATATTATACTTTTGCAGTCTCAAATTTTAGACTGTTTCTAAATAATAAGAACCAAAAAATGGAATCCAGCAATTGAATTTAATTACTACAGAGAAATTAGCTAATAAGAGAAAAAAAAAAAAAAAAAAAAAAAAGCTGACCGTCTCTGGAGGAGAGCCGAGTACAGAGGCGTCGGCGATGGCGAAATTAGCTCCGTGAGAAAAATCCCCCGTGGTTAGGAGAATCGGAAAGATTCGAGGAATTCCCATGAAATTAGCTATATATAAAAAAAACACAAATGAATATATAGTTACTAGATTTTTGAAGTGAGATAAATATAATTACCAAGATAATCAGGAACGATAGAACCATCGGACCACCGTCCGGTGGCTTGTCCTACAGTGACTCCATAAGGAGGAAAGCTTGCGTCAACTCGGTTCTGAGAGAGGAACTGTTTGTTTCCGGCGTCGTAAAGACCATCGCCGAACACAAAAAGCGTCTGAGCGAAGGAAACGGTGGGAAAGTGAAGAAGAAGAAGAAGAGGGAAGAGTGAGAAGAAGTGAGATTTGAGAATCGCCATTGAAAGATCGGTAAGAGAAAGCTTCGACGGTGGTTAGCTAGAAATTACGGTGAATGAATCAAAGCATTGATCAAGCCACGTGACCAACGTTCCCATTTTTAAATTTTTTTATTACAAGTAGACTTTTCTTCGTTAGTCCGTTAGTAGTGGCATTATTTTATTTTAATCGATATATAAAAGTATTTCACTTTATTTAATAATAACTTCATTTTACATCGACTTCCATGTGAACAAATGAATAAATTATTCTTGTATTTATAAAAGTTTATAGTATTTATAAATTGATCAGATATATTATTCGTTTCTTGTTTGTATATCGATTAACTTTTAAAAACTTTTTAATCTTCTTGATAACCATAATAACCATGTAATAATAATATTAAAACAATGCATAGATCAGATCAGATCTCGATCTGATATATGGAGTAGAGACAAAGAGCGAACCAAACACGAACCGGACTATACCGATGATTTTGGTTTGGATCTTGTCTTGCTGGTGTGGTCACCTAGGAACTCTTTCTTTGTGAGATAGTCTCAATCCATTATAGGAGGAACCGCTTATCGTTGTCTCGCTTTGCTGCTTCGGTTTGCTTTGTGTAAGGCTTTCCAGTCATGGTTTTGATTTGGTAGGTATGGAGTTTGTGTTAGATTCCAGATTTAATTTGTTGAGTTTCTTGTTTTTAGTTATCATTTATTCCCAGCTTGTTTCCCTGTAGTTTAGGGCTTAGTTTCTGAGGATTAAAGTCCCGCCAACTTAGTTTCTGAAAGTTAAAATCCCGTATACCTTTGTATTCCGACAACGTATTCCACTCTTATTATATAATCATCGAAAAAAGAAAAAAGAACAATGCATTATACTATGTTAGCTAATAAAATATAATTATAAGTAATTTCTATTAATATATAGCTTTAATTATTTTTATCACGAGTTTGTCGTATTGTGGTACTGTAGTATATATGTTTAACCTTCTTTGTGAGCCTGAGAGCATCAGCAGTGGTGTATTTGTAGGGATAGATGTTAATAAATTTATATTAATATAATAAAAAAGAGAGAGAAGAGAGAGATAGAGAGATAGAGAGAGATAGGGAGTGTGAAGAAGAGAGAAGAAGAGCTTACCAACCAAATGCTCCCACGTGGCTCACATTCGGGTGTTATCCCACATTTGAACTGTGTAACTTTTCCAACTTTTGCAATATTTTTTGTTTTAAAATTACTCACCCTCGGGTAAAGAGTGTATCACTGCTTGTGGTCTGAGGATGTAACTTCATTTATGGTTAAGCCCCATGTGCTCACCAGGCCCGGCTTAGCACATGTGCTAGGAGTGCTAGGGCACATGGTCCTAGCCTCCTAGGGTCCAATTTTTTTTTTTTTTTTTTCATAAAAAATCCCAACCTTTTTATAAAATAACCAACTAAATAAAAAATTATACTTTAAAAATCCCAAATTTTGTTAAAAACAATATAAAAAAATCCAAGTTTAAGAAAATAATATTTCTATAATTAAAAACAACAATTATTTGAATACAAATTTGGTATTTTTTTTTTTAAATTATAATAATAGACAAAAAAAAAAAATTTATCTAAGGGCCCTTAATTTCTTTGGGACAGATCTAACACCGGGTCTCGTCAATAATTGAGCCGGCCCTGGTGCTCACCTCAATGGCGACATTTGAAAATACTAAATATTAGTCAATTACTGATTGGCAATAAAAATATCGCTTCCACTTATGTTATGGAAATATTTTTTTTTCTTCCAATTTCATAGAAGTATCATTTTAACATTTGTTTTTGCTTTTCAAATGGGTTGTTTTGTATTTCTGATGTAGTTTTTTTAATTATTATCTTCATTTCAGCTTATTACTTAGAACTTTTTTTTATCTGAGTGAGATAGTAGAAATTTGCGTAATTATCTTAATTTATATGAAACATATCTTTATAACACTCTTAATTTGCGTATTTTTTACAAATCTACTATTTTAACTAAACTTATACAGTATATTTATAGGTGTAGTCCATAACATTTTATATTTACTACGGAAAAAAATTGTCGCTACACAATAAATAAACATCGAATTCTTTGATGGCTTTTCCAATCTTTTGAAGAATAGACTTTACATATAGTCACAATGTACAACTTTTGTTTGCTTGCTTTCAATGTTTACATGCTTTTAAGGTTATTGAAAAATGTGAACACATAACACATGCATGGTGTTGGTGGTGGTTGAGAAATAAAAGAATGTGAATCACAATAGCAGTCTCCCTTTTAACTAACTGGTTGTTCTTCATGACTTATCTTTTAACTAATACTCCCTCTCTGTTTTACAAAGAATGTTATTTTAGAGTTTTGCACACAGATTAAGAAAACATTAATTTTTTTGTTTTTTCTAAACAAAAACATCATTAACTATATACCTAAACATAATCTGCCCAATAGTAAAATAATATGCAGAATACTAATAGTCATAAAACATAAAAAATCATTAAATTTTGTATTTAAAACCTAAAACGACACTCTTTGTGAAACAAAAATAAAACCTTAAAACGACATTCTTTATGAAACGGAGAGAGTATTTCATAAAAAATACAAACTTTAATTTGCGCTTTATCTTGTCACAGCTTTTTTTTTGAAACTTTTCGTTATCCTGTCGCAGTTTGATCGACCTGTGATTTGGGTTTCTTCGTTGTTTTTTATATCTCTAATATAATATAAAAATTTTGAATTATATCAATTTTTATTGATTTTATAGAGTTTCAAGCATGGATAATTAAGAAGAAGAACAATCTAGAAAAACTATAGGTGAATTTCATAAATAAGTAAATAACAATTTTTGGAGTTTAGTTAAGGTTTTAGAGCTTATATATATATATATATATATATAGGATAAATGACGTTTCTTAATTTATTGTGTTGAGTAGAGTTGTTTAGTATGTTGGCAGACAAAATGATATTTTCTCTAGTTTTGTTGGAAAAAGGAAAAAGGACAAATGTCTATAATTAGGTATAGAAGAACAGTAGAAGTGGAGTTAGTTTCACTTTCAATTGATATAAGACATAGCAAAAACGTGAGAGATTGAATATTCACATAGTTGTGATTTTCTCTTTCTAACATCGATTTTACATGACATTAAACTTTTTTAAAAAAATTTAAGTTCCATTAATTTTTTTAGTTCTATAAATATGTCAAAGCTCTAACGTTTTAATTTACAATATATTTATATTTTTCTAACGTTTATATTTTTATTATTCATTCCAAACTTGTTTCTTTTTTCTAAACTGAGTTTGCTTATTAATCTTTGGATGAATTAATTACGGATTTTGCCCTATTTTATAATGGCATTTATGAATTTTGTCCTTTTTGGATAGTTTATGGATTTTGCCCTTTTTTAGGCTCTAAAAATATGATTTAACATGCGTTTCATTCCTTATGTTTGGGTTTAGTCGGTTCCATTTGTTTTTAGGGTTTAGTATTTGGTATAATGTACGTATTTTTGCAAAAAAAAATCATAAATACGTACATTTTTAAGTGTTAAAAAAAGGCAAAATCCATAAACTATCCAAAAAGGGCAAAATCCATAAATGTTATTATAAAAAAGGGCAAAATCCGTAATAATCCCATCTTTGGATTATAAAGATCATTTAAAAGCTCTTTTATTTTCAAATATTTTACAATATAAATATATTAGAGGACTGAGGAACTTATTGTACCTTAACATTATTCTGCTTAACTGAAAATGGAGTGTAGTTTAGTGAGTGTACTAGGAATATTATTGGTATTTCCTCTCTTCCACAATCTTGTCACCGTCTCCGGGCAGAATATTCCGGCGGTGGGTTTGTTCACATTCGGAGATTCCAGCTTCGACGCCGGAAATAAAAAGTTCCTCACTAGTGCTTCACTTCCTCAAAACTTTTGGCCTTACGGTAAATCTCGAGATGACCCTAAGGGCAAGTTTTCCGATGGCAAAATTGTCCCGGACTTTATTGGTAAGTTTATAAATTTATCTTTGTTTTAAACTTTTTTTCAAAAGGAATCAGATTTTCATTTGATCTTTATAATCCGAAGACAACAATATAGTGGACAACATATATAATTTGTGGATTGATGCTTATTTGTTAGCTTAGCTATCCATCATATCAAAATTCTGTCCCAATATAGTTGTTAGATATACTTAAATCAATAAATAATTTTAAAATGAGTGCAATTAAAAAAGCAATTCAAATGTAGGAAAAAGGTTCAATATTGCAAACTATTTTATAATGTGTGAAAATTTGATAAATGTAACGGACTAGTAATTGTTTTTCAAAGGTCTCAATTCGAATTAGCCTTATTTCTTTAATATTTTAACTACGTATACACGATGAACACGTTCTTTATATAATATTATAATGCATATCATTTAACCATTAAGAAATAAATTAGCTTAGTTTTCTTTATAGGTATTCGTTTTATATAATTATATAAAACTCTGTACTATATTTAATTACTAAAGGAAATTTTTGATTGGTAAGTGGTAACTAAAGTCTTATGACATTGATGGGGGTGAATAAATCACAGCAAAATTCATGGGGATTCCACACGATTTACCGCCGGCGCTAAAACCCGGTGCCGATGTGTCACGAGGAGCCAGCTTCGCCGTCGGGTCCGCTTCTATTGTTGGATCACCAAGAGATTCTGTAAGCTCGTTTAATCATATCTATAAATATTTAGTATCATAAAGCATTAATGTAATAATTACAAAATTCACAATTTTTGGTAGTTGACTCTGAATCAACAAGTGAGGAAATTCAATCAGATGATATCAAATTGGAAAGTGGATTACATTCAGAAATCAGTGTTTATGATTAGCATTGGTATGGAAGATTACTACAACTTCACCAAAAACAATCCTAATGCTGAAGTTTCGGCTCAACAAGCTTTCGTTACTTCTGTCACTAACCGATTAAAGAGTGATATCAACGTAAGTATTTTCATCTCTAAAGCTAATCAAGAAAAAAATGAGTCTGACGTATATGTTAATATAATTTTAATTGCAGTTGTTGTATTCATCTGGAGCTAGTAAATTCGTCGTACAGTTGCTAGCGCCATTAGGTTGTTTACCGATCGCAAGACAAGAA